AAAAYGTGTAACAGCAAATGACAAAGTAAAAAACTTCCACAACTACATGCTAGAGACATGTGTTTGAAGATAGACATCCATTCATATTCATGACATAAATTGGAGCCTTAACAATACATATTTTATCTGGTAACYTGAAATACCAGGAAATAATACCAACTTACTTTGCTAAGCTTATCAGAAATAAAGCTCAATAAAATTGTTCAAAAGCTAAGGCTGACTGTTAACATTTGCTGAATTTATTTTGAAGGCATTTTAAAATAACTGAATCAAGCAGTGAAGTCGGATACTTCCTGCTGGGTTCTTAAACCTTGCAATAATGAAAAATATAGTGTAGCAAATAATCACTSTACATTATAGATAACATGTAATGCTTAAGAAATTAGCAAAACAACACATTTTGTTTTAAATAGTTGWTAACACAGATTTAAGAGTAGCAACGAATTTCAGATGGAGAGCAAATGACATATATACTTTTTCCTGGACCTTTTACAGAAAATGTAGACCATATTTTCTTTTCTGACAAATGAGAAAGATCAACAAGTAAGTCYGAATAGTGCCCTAAATGCACCAGTAGGATCATTTTTTTGCCAAATAGCAATGCAATAGCTGCATGTGTTTGTTAACAGAAGATGTGTCATGAGCACAGTGGCAAGACTCTACCCCCAGACATCCCAAAGCACTACTAGACACAGAAAATAGTCCAAGAAACATATAGGTTTATTAAACATCTGATTTTTCTGAAGGGTTGAGACTTGCCTTTTTTCTGAACCACAGAAAGACAYAGAAGAGATTCTAATGGAAAACCTCAGTAAATCCTTTCCATTAGTGAACTTTCTGCGGGTTTTCAACAATAGAAGGAAGCATTTTTCCCTGAATTATGACATAAATATATAAAATAGACAAGATAAATATTTTGATAAGTCTTAACACAAGACAAAAATATTTAGCTTTCAGAAATTAGCAATATGTGTGTTATCATCACTACTTTCTGATGTTATTCATAAGCATCATCTGTTTATAAAAATCATCTCTCACCTTACATTTCTAAGTGAGCTTGTCAGCCTTTCAGCAGGAATGCTCTTTTATATAGGTGTTTGTGTAGTGTTGAGCAAAAAGTGATCTTAAATCATCAGTGGGATACATAGAAGGTAAATTTTTCACAAAACTCTCAAAAAATGCTTACAACTTCTCAATAAAGGATAAAGGTAATGGATCAAACTGGTCAAAACATGATCCTAACAAAATCTTTTTGAGAGCAAAATAATCYCTCTCAAGTCCATCTGCATATACAACTATCTGAAGCTCTTACTAAGATTTACTGTCTTCTTTGAATGTCAYAATAGTTGCACTGTTTTCTGGTAACCAAACTGTTTATGTATCAGGAGAAAAACAAATCCAGCAGAAGGAAAAATGGTATCATACGTCTTTTATGTTGACAGAATTATTCTACAAAGCAAACAGCAGTCTGAGACTAATTTCAAAATAAGACTTCTCTGTACAAAGAAGTGATATGATACAGGACAAGTAAAATACAGCACGAAGTTTCTTACTGCACTGTCTGACGAAGTCTGATTTTTCTTGCTAGATTAATTCATTCTTTCATTTATCCTGAAACTACTAATTTATAACTGAATCAACCCCTATGAAAAATTATACATAGTTCTACATTTTTATCTTTACCAGATATGAATTATTAATATAATTAAAGCTGCAGTAGATACTTTATGATTAAATTATTATATTAAAAGCCAGATTGTTGAAGCATTTGTAAAGTTCAGGTTATTATGCCAATAACTTTTGTTTGCATTTTCTGGAAGTTTCATCTGAAACATTATTTTAATTCATAGCCAGCTATGTCTGTTTCAGATTTGTGAAAGATATTATGATGCAATAAATAACAGCAGCTACTAGGTTAGACAATTTTGCTCACTCTCCCTCATGTATTTATGAATTTATAATTCAGGGTGCTCTGTGATTAAAGATGGGTACTGAAATTCGAGTTCTCTCTTCATGGCATAACACTTGGACTAAGCAAGTTCTGTCTGTTCACTCTAAGTTCACTGTCTTGTGCCATCAGTTAAACCTCCCTAGATGACTTGCCAAAATGATGGCAGTGGGCAACCTTCCACTGCTTCCAGGCATCCTTCCTATCTCTCCCTTCTAAAAGAAATCTTCTGAGATCCAAGAAACAGAAATCTGACAGCATGTAAACTGGTATCATTTTTAACAGAAGAATTCGATGCTATGTAACCCAATACCAGCAGCAAAACTCAGGGCTTTACTAGGACACTGCACTTTCATAYTCCCCTGCTGCAGCCACCAAGGAGAATATCCTAATCCAGACTCTGGCACAAAATGAAAAAAGCACAAAACAACCACAACAATGRCCCACATGCCCAATTTCCATTGCTYTTAGTTAGGYCTTCCACTGGTATCAAACCTCATGTTCCACAATATTTCACTAGTGACATTATTTCAAATACAGTATTCAAACAAGCAATTATAGACATATTCAGAAAAAAAAATCTTCTAACATTAAATCGAAGACAGAAAGAGCTACAGTTGCTCAGCATGGTAAAGAGAAGCTCCAGCAAGATCTCGTTATGGCCTTCCAGTACTTAAAGGGAAATTAYCAAAAGGAGGGAGAGGGACTTTGTATACAGACAGAAACTGACAAGATAAAGGGCAATGGTTTTATACCGAAAGATATAAATTTGCTGTTAGGAAAAAAATTCTTTACTGTGAGGGTGGTGAGGCACTGGAATAAGTTGGTCAGAGAAGCTGKGAAAGCCCCACCACTGCAAGCTTTCAAGGCCAGCTTGGATGAAGCCCTGAGCAACCTGGTCTAGTGAGGGAAATCTTGGTCTATGGCAGAGGTTTGAAACTAGATGATTCTTAAGAGACCCTTATAACCCAAACCATTGTATGATTCTCTGGAATAAACTCTTTACAATTTAGTATTAGCAGTCAATAATATTATATAACGGTGGCCAAAAATCTACTTGGAAATCAAGTCTGGGATGTTAGGGCTTTGATGATCTTCGAGCCTGTACAGCCATTAAAGGCTTCTGTCTAGCGTTTCAGGCATACAAGGGGTGGGAAAGCAGAAGGTACAGGAAGGTAAACACTACCATATGTCAAACCTTTGAAGATGTACTATGTTTATTCAGTTTCTTCTGAAAGACAATGTACATTCAATGCACRATGGACTTAAAAAAAGATAAATTACAGTTGTACCTGTAAAACATGTACAGTTGTAGAAGTCACTACCCATTCACCTTCAAAGTCAACCTGCTGGGGGACAAATTTGGACCAGGAATTGTTTTACGGCTGCTATGAGATCAAGATAAATTTCCTGTTAACACAGATTATTACATCAAACTCAGTGAAAATATTATTTCTGCATTTCTCCTACTTAAAGCACTGTCTGGATAGAATAGACTAGAAACATGATTATGCATATTTTTCAATGTGGACATGGTCATAGATCATGTGGGAAAAAATGATAAAAATATGTTTCACCATAGAGAGAGAGCCATTCACTGAGATAATACATTTTTTACCACACCTGCAGAGTTCAGGAAATAAGATTCAACAATCCAGTCAATTTGAGCTGACATGTTGGTTCCTACTTTATGTTCAAAGAAAATTCATATGAATATACTCACACAAATGCTTGCAAAAAGAGAAAGCATTGATTAAAAATAAAAATCCGCTAATCCTTATTAGGATTTTTTTAAAGACTGAAGAATAAGTGGCATTATATAAAACATGCAATTATACTAGGCATTTGTTAAAACATAGCTACATATTTCTGAGGTAATCAAAAGCTTTATCAGGACATAATTATATTTAGTTGGTACTGCTGTAGCACCAAATCCAATAAATTCTATCTACGAAATGTGAAGGAGCACCATAAATAGGAAAAGTAGAAGGCAGAGGCAATTCCTCCGTAACCTGAGCAATTGAAACAAAATAGGGACAACTGACTGCTAGTTCCATTACAATGCAATATTAGGGGTAACTGGCAAGCTTAAATGGTTTAAGAATTCTATTCCCACTAGTACTCTAACACAAACCAAGTTTCTACTTGTCAGCTGCCATGTCTGAGTTCCAAGCTGAAAATGCTCACCTTTCAGCTATGCCGCCTMCCGCAAATGCATAAAAAGTATACAGAAATGTAAATAATTTTTATGATTAATGTATAGTTATAGAATTACATATAGTTATAAAATATGATTAGCTACATGTGATAATCTAGGATGAGGCATGTTTATTAAAACCATAAGCGCTTCTAGAACCTACTGACACAAAAAATCTTTTTATTAGAATAATTCAACAAGAAAATAAAGAAAACATGGAACCATGCAAGAAAAATCTAAGTTATTGAAAGTTTTATTGTGTGGATTTTAAAATGAACAACTTGCAAGAATATTGTTACTTATTGCCATAAATAATCAGCTTAGATGATGTAAGGAAAGAAAATTGCGATGCTAAACAGTTAATCCTTTTTGAATAACTACTATAAAAACTGCCTTACTTATGCAATCCATGCAAACTGGTCAGTATGATTTCCATTGTTTGAGTTGCTTCAACAATGATTTAGACATCATCTTATATCCTGTAGTATCACTTATAGGGATAAAGTGAAATGGATTTGCCAGGGGAAAAATATTATTTCCTAATATTTTTAATGGATTATATTCAAACCCACTTTTTTTTTTTCTGTGAATTTACTCAAAGAATCAAGGGCCTGCAACTGACTTTATTCTCTGGTTCCATAGGGCTGTTCAACAGAGTATTCACATCAACTTATAAAAGCCATCAGCACCTTCAGAGGGCTTTAAATTTAAAACCCTGCATTTGTAGACATAGAATTAGCACAATTTSAGTGATATTGAACATAAATATTTCTTGTTTTGGTTCACATTTGAAGGATATGCTGTAAATCATATTGGAATAATCCAATAACCWCTCCCTTAATTAATTATACTAACCTGTGTCTCTGGAAAGAAAAGGTAGTTTGGCAACAGAAGAGCTGAAATCTTTTGCGTCTCTCAGACTAAAACATGTAGATGGACTCTGACTTTCTTCCAAGCTCATAGAAGGAGACTGCTCCAAGTCTGTAAAACCAGCAGAGGTGGCATTAAGCTGGAAAAGAGCATCTCGTGCTTTTTTTTTCTCTTTTTTTAACATAGTTACCAGAATATCTGCAAGATATATTAAGGATTGTTTTTTTCTTGTTTTAAAAGAAAGGAACAGTCATGATTGTTTATCAGTAAGTCTTTTTTTTTTACAAAGTGGAACAATTCACATGATAGAAGCATATGTATGAATGTGAATTAAAAGCAGGACATATTCTTGGCAATTATTTTCATCCATCTCAGTTTTTCCAAGCAGCAAATTCATTTTACTAAACAATAATAAAGTCACACATTGACCACAATTGCTAATACCATTGAATCAACTCCTGATAAAAGCATTTACAGACTGACAGGATCTTACTGCCACTGTAGTAGTCACTTCTTATTTTTTAAATTTTGTAATAAACAAGACTTCTAAACAAAAGAAAAATCTCTTAACTTACAGGTAGCCTTGCAAGTGTATCTCATCTGTAAGCTTTTCACAATAAGTATTACTAAAATGTAGAAAAATCTTTGGGAATTTTCTTGCAAAACACTGTGAATTTACTGGAAGTATAATAGATGTAAATACATTTTGCCCAACAGCTTATAGAGGATGTAAAATGGAAATCCTGCACACATTTAATAAGGAACACTGAAATCTCTGTGATATGTTTTTTCATGTGCTAAATTATTTTTAATACTAATTAACCTTCTAAATTAATACCAGAAAATCTAAGCAGCCTTTGGGGAATATTATGAACTTGACTAGGTAATAATAAAACACTTTCCAATTCCGTTTTTATGATAGCTTCCAGCTACTGTAGGCAAGAAGGAACTCATAGTTTATTGAACATATATTGTTATTCCATATTTCCCACCACTTCATCACATTAGACATGTTATTAATATTCCAGTGATCATGTATAGTCACTTAGTCACCGCAGACTCCCTAAATTAGTCTTGTCTTCTTTGAATATAACCCTAACTAACAYAGATTTACACAAATTTCCTCATTTCACTTTTGTGAACAAAGCTGTAAAAAGTGCATTTGATAGAGATATTTTGCTTTTTTTCTCACATAAATGAAATAATTTATTTCAGAAAGAAACGTTTCTGGGAATTGAACATTAAAATTAACATAAAAAAAACCCTGAAGAATCTTTTTAAATTAATGAGTCAGTGTTTTAGTTAAATTTATTTGAAATTGCACCCTGGAAAAAGGAAATATTGTCATCTGTAACAGAGCAGAATTAGGGAAGCTTTCCTGTCACCTCAATTTAGATGGGTGACATGTTACACCCCAGTGAAAAATGCTATTCTCATTTAACATTTAAAATTGAGCTGGAATTGTTAAACACAAAGAATGCAACTGAGTTTGCTGTTTATTAATAACTGTGTAAGAACCTCTGTTACCTTTACATTCAACAAACCCGTGTTTTTATTTCTGTGCTGTGTTACAAATGTTCTCCACTGAGTAGCCACAAAGCTGGGGACAGAGTGGCTGTGGTTTGACCACAGATCTGTCAACCTGCTAAAAATAACTCCCACCCATTGTGCTGCACTGMGGCTACTCGTGTTTCCTCACTCAAGGCATGAAATGGACAAAGCACATCTGAGCACTTTAGCATTTTTATGTGCAAAAAKCTTTAAATTTAAAAAGTACAAGTTTTATATTGTTTGAAGGGCAAATAGCCCAGTAGTCCCCAATGCAACACCTAATTTGGCTAAAAATAACACATACAGGAAATTCTATTCTTTGTAAGGTAATAGATTGGTCTTTATATAGCATCAGAGTTTCTCCCTCTAAAAAGTAGTTTAATTTGCTTGAGTTCTAGGTGTCACCTGGCATGATCCACAGTATTTCACTATTGTCTGGACCATTCTAAAGCTAAGTGGTGTTTGGATCCAGGATTTTGATTTGGATAAAAATTGAAAAAGAAGAAGGTGCGAAACAGAAATCCTGTCGCATAAAAGTTGGGAATTGAGTATTTGCTTTAACACAGTACAGTCTCTCTCACACAAAGATAAACGGTTCTAAGTCAGATCATCTCAAACTCAAATAACACATTTTTCCTCACAAAGGATACTGATTTCATTGTCTCTTTGTTGCAAAAGTTCTTTCAATTTTTCCAGTTCTTCTCCTGCTTCTTTGTTAATGTATTTTTGTTCAGAGATGTCTGGTGAGAGCAGGTTTTCTTCAGAAGTCAATGAACGGTGAATTAGTTCCTATTAGGAGAAACAAAAAAAGTACACTCTTTTAACTTTAATCCTGAGGTCTAAATATAGTAAGAAAAGTAAAACCTTTCCAGAATCTTGACAGAAAAAAGTCATGCCACAGTAGATTGTCAAATTATACCCATTGTGTCAAGCATGAAACAAATTGTAATTTTTAATCCTAACTAGCAAGGGTGTAATTTATTTTACTCTTTCTACACACAAATTCCAGAGTTCTGTAGTATCACAGAACTTTCAGTAGAAAAACTATAATTATAAATAATTATTTAAGGACAATAAATTAAGATCAGGAATATATACACTATTATATTTGAAAAACTATATCCCAAAATGCAGAAAAGTATTATCTTCTATTGCTTTTCCTATTAATTTCACAATTATCAAGTGTATCTTGTTTGCTCAATGATTCAGAAGGGATTGCAACATCTTCAGAAGAATTAGTGTAACAGATTAAGGGATATCGTGTTTTTAATCTACATTTTTACCTCTTTCAACATAGTTTGTCCAAAACAAAGCCTCAGTAATGCTGGAAATACAGATGGGAACATCTATCCATATACAAATAACTTCTCTTGCTGATTCTAGAAAGTTCCAGTGCTCTCTTACAATTTACTGCATGCTAGGATCCTTGTTGCTATTTCCACAAAAGGCTGCTGATTTTTTTCAGCTAAATTTAAATTTTCTATGAGTCCTCCACACACTTGAAAGTTCAATTGTTTTCGCCTTTTCCAGTACCTCTCAACTGCATTGCATATCTTTTAACACTTTTGAACCATGTATATCTCCATGTTATTTTCAGAGTGCCAGCTGCATTTCCAGCTATGTTTAAAAAAAATACCTTCATACAAACGAAGCAATACTTGATCTTGCGCATGTCAGTGCCAACATCCAGAGAGCTATCGGGATCATCATCATTGAGAAATGTTTCAATTAACTCATCCAACCTGGAAATACACAGCATTTTTTAAGAGAAGAAAAAAATATCACGAACAAGCAGACAAGTCTGCAAATGTGGTGTGTCAAAAACAATACAAAATGTACCAAGCTGCCTGATATTAGTAGACTACTTTCCTTCAAGGTACATGCATTTGAAACGTACGTTTGTTCTGGTTAATGAAACCTGGATTTGATACTGAAGATTTTACCATGGCATATCCTAACATACTGGCACACCCTAAGGAATAGTTCTAGAACCAAAAGCATCTAAGAACTAATCTTCTTTTTCTCATTTATTTTATAACCTTTTGCTCTTCTGCTATCTCATAATTGAAAAGATATAAAACCTGCTCTCTCAGAAGACCAGATTTTTAGAGATTTTGGGACTAGGATTTGTTGCAATATATGCTTATTTGTGCAAAAGAAAAGTCTACTTCTTTTTCTATTACAGTAGTCAGCAGATAGCATAGCTTTCRTACATAAATTACCTGCTCCAATCACCAAGCAAGGCAAACTATCTTTTAATGTAGATATTAATAGATTTTTCAAAGACCTACTGCACTTCCTTTGAGTAATGAAATATAGTTAGCATTTTATTCTGTTGCAATGTGTTCTTTATAAACTGACAAAATCTTCATTAGGGAGGAAMTAGTCTAATTCAGTCTTCCTAAGACAATCTGGCACAGAGAAGCATTCTCTTTATTTTTTAAAACCAAATTGAAATTATCAGACTGAAAACTCATACAGGCATAATATACAATGTTCTAGGCGGGATGTAACACCTCTACAGATAGAATCAGATTTCCTCTTGCATATTGTCACCATCTTTCCAGGTCTCATATTCCAGGATGCATTGCAGTTCATTCTCAAGACAAAGGGAAGAGGACCTCTAAGCCCAAACTAAACTTTTAACCCACTTACTAAGGAATATATCTGGAAAACTGCAAGTGMAAATTCAAACTCTGTCAGCTGTGTTTAGATTTATGATTTCCTGGTTCCTGTCAAATGACATTTCAATTATTTAGTAGGCAAACGGTGGGCAACAACAACAGGTATATGCYCTGTAAAGCATAATTTTCTATTTTAAAATGTTTATTTTGGTTATTATCCTCACCAGATGAACTTCAGTTCTGAACCTGAGCCAAGGCTTCTAGAGTAGCTGCATCAAGGGCCAAACTGCCCAAGAAGGGCAAGAGTTCATCTCTATGCGTAGCATTTCTTTTGGACTAGTTTTGTTCAGCTCCTCACTTAATATGCAAGCATTCTGAGAGGCACTTTGTAGTCATTTATCCTCTTAGTTACAGGATTGGGAATCTTTTTGGTATTTTATCATCAGAATCACTTTGTTGTAACCACATACAAAAAATTTCAGGCATTATAATATCTCAGCATCCGAAGTTTACCCTAGAGTACATTTTGTGGTATTTCCCTGCTTCTGAAGACTTCTCCTACTGAAATTCCTCACATAACAGTAATAGGAAATCCCTGCTGGAGAGTGAAACAATGAGAAGAACAACAATCAGAAAAAAAAATTGTTTTCAGGAGATAAATATCTCTGAAAATCAGCTGCGAGACTGGAATGAAAATTGGAAAGCATAACAAATAGTTTTGGTATTTATCTCCTCTGGAGATAGCAAAGTGGCAATACTCAAAACAGAAGAAAAAGGAAATAAGAGAGTTCGTTTCAGACAAACCCTGCTTTCCCATTTTTATTACTTCAATTAAATATCAAGAGGCAAATATGTTGTCTATACCACTCACTGAATGTGCAAAGTTCACAACTTCTGAATTTATAGGACACTCCCTCAAGTCAGTGTGAGCTGTACATGTTGAGAGCTTGAAGGAGAGGATATTTAAAGAGAAATGTTAGCTACAGAAGCATTACTGCCATTGACTTGCTTCTCAACTTAAGGAACTACAAAATTTACTCAATAAAAGAGACCAAAATTTTGCTTAATTCTACATGACTTTTTACTGCATCGAGAACAGAAGCCAGTAGTGCAGTTACTCATACATTCTGCAGACACTCTAAGCAAAAAAGCAGGAGAATWAATTCTTCATCCACAGAAGTAGGTATTTGTGTTAGCACTAGGAACAAAGATGCATTTATACTATTAATGAGAATATGACTGTGATTACACAGACACGAAGTCAGTACTTGTCACTATCTTAGGCACTTTCTTGGTTTCAGTAAGAGGAAATAAGTAAAAATTTTGATAACTAGGTTGTCCAGACTGACTATATGAAGACATCTATAAAAATGGGGCTTWAATCTTAAACTAGAAAGTATGAAAGAGATGTTTTAACCTTTTAAGATTATCTAGTTGCCAGGGATTTACCCATACTCAGATTACAAAAGATTTAGACTATGGGAATCAAACAAAAAATGGCACTAACTTGCACAATTACCATTACCATAATGTGCAAATACTTCAAGACAAAGAAAAAGAACATATAATTMCTGTGAAATAATACTCTATTTTTAAAAGTTATTATTTTCCATTCAAGAGTCAAGGTTCATTTAGGTCAAGTGTAACAAATTAGACAAGCTGTAGTTATAGATACAAGCTGCTATTTCCTCTTTCTTACATTATCTTTAATGCATTTTGAATTCTTGAAAAAACACAACAGTCCAATTAATTTTTTGATTTCCAGGTAGTACAAAGAAGCCAAAAGAGATCTGAGCACCAAAAGACTGAGTCAAGTCTGAAATACCAGACTGTAAATCTGAAGTTACAAACCTCTTTCCCAGTTGGAGGAAAAACTAGAATCGTCAGTGAATATTTAGATGAATTTTCAGTATTTCATTGTTAAGAATGAGAATAAGAAAAGGAACAGACCATCCAAGGCTAAACACTTCAAATAAAATTAAAAGAAAAATAAAKTTWAAAAAMGAAAAACAGCCATGAAAATCCTCATGAATACTAGCAAAAAAATCACTGCCTCTCTCACTCTTTTAGGTTTCCATGTAAAAAATGCCAGAAGTCTTTCTAAAATAAACACACAGTCTGACAACATGCTGGATTTTCTAGGAGTTCTTCCAGAATACTGAAGCACTAAACAAAGGTACAAAACAAACTGACAGTGCTACAYGGAGGCAACTTGAAGATTCTCTTCTCATTGTGCAGATCTCAGTAAACTGAACAATATTTTGCTTAAGTGACTTAGCAGCCCAAAGATTGTCAAAATAAGATAGGAATTTATACAGTAACAAGATCTTCAGTTTCGCAAATGAAAAAAAGATGAAATGATACTTAATTTCCAGAAACACTCACAAGGTTAATCAAGGAGACAGTAAAGAATCACAGGAGGAGGGAAAAATCCCACAGATAAGAATAACCATAAAAAAGGTATACTGACTGTACATTTACTTTTTCCTAACATGTATTAGACAAGGTATGTCTGTTCTCTAGGTGGCAAAGAAACAAATGACAATAGAATTTACAAGATGAATATGCTTTTATATTAGTCTCATATTCATGACTAAAACAGTTTATTATTTATGTTTAAATATATCCATAAAAATAAAACTAAATATATGGGATATGTGAAAACTAGAGCACAGAATTATATAAAATAGGGCTGTAAAAGATTTAYGAAATTCATCTAGGACATCTACAGTTACAAGTCCAACACACTCTTTCTAGTCAAAACTACGCAAAGGCTGTGGTCATCCTCCAATAGAGGGTGAGAAAAAACTTTTTGGCAATAAAGGAGAGCCAAAATAGCTTTTGTTTTTCATTCCATTATTTTCAAGAGATTGATAAAACCAATAATAATATCTTCTGAGATAGCCACCTATGTTTGATCTTTAGTTTTCTACCAGGAGAATGCACATTAAACTTTTCCTCCAACCAAAGTCTATTGCAAGAATATATGTCATCAAGAATTGAACCAGAAAAACACATTAAACATCAAGCCCTGAAAGAAGTAGCGTCTAGATGTTCAAGAGGAACAAGAAACCCATAGAGAAAAAGAAGTCCAGAGAACTTTCTAGCAAGTCTTGCTTTACCAGCCTAGTCAGAAGCATGTGTTTGTGGCAGAACAAAGGTAATATGAAATCATAACGTCCAAGAAGTGGGCTTTTTTTCTAAAGGACCTTTTTTCAACTCAGTCACCATAGAATAACAAAAAGGCACTTAAGGAAATAAAGTATTTTAGATGTTGTGGTTCAGCCTTGAGACCATATACCAAGACCTCTCTTAGGCAGTCAGTACATCCTATTTTCTGTAAGCGTTGAGAACTAGAGTTTCTTTTAAAAAAGACCCAAGCAATCAATTCTTACACTTACTGCTGCTATTATGCCAAGGATAATGGTCAACATTTTCATGTCCTCTCAAAACAGAAATTAGGAAATAAAGCAGCCYAAAGAAAGGCATTTAGATAATGTACTTGCTAAAGGAAAAAGAATACCTGGCACAAATCTCATATCATATGTGAAAAAAATCTAAATATGTGACTGAGCTTTTCTTCTCCCAACACAACCCAGGCTAAACTTTAATTTCCCCAGGACACATATTGCCTACAGTCAATGCGAAAATAATTTAGAAAAATCATATATGTGGGCTCTACAACATGACTCAGAGTGCCAAAGCAACTTATAAAACAGAGGGAAGGAAAAATGCCCAAATGCTTTTGTTAAAGCATATAATGAAACCCAGCTAGATTTAAAAAGAAAAAATCAGCTAACAAATGTACTAAAACCAATTTCCATAATATTAAATGCATGTGAACACTGCTGCTTACAGTATGATATTTTGTTTTCCTTTCTTGACTGTATYTATGAAGACTCACACTATGGCAGTGCTGAACCTTATTGTTACATGAGAGATGGACTGCAGAAGAAATAAATTCCTATTTTCACACTCTATTTCTCTTTCATAACTTATAAAATGAGCTTTGCAAGATATCAATCAGTAGCAAAAAGAATAATCCCCCAACTAAAATTAAAATTCAAGATAATCAACCCAAAGTCCTAGTAATGAAATTACACCAAAATTCTGTCACT